TTAGCAACAAAAAGCTTTCCAGTTTGGAAAGGGCCTTGAGAAACTTCTTCGAACCTAACGAATTCAATGCAGACAGATGTACGCCAGACTGTTCTATCTAACGGCGAAAGGTCGAACTTGATAACTATTAATAGGCGAGAGTTATTCAGAAAATGATAGAGACTATTTTCAGAAAAAATCTGACAATAATGATGCGTTACCCGTACTTCTTCGTTCAATCTTTATTTTCGGGTAAATATTGGCATTCTACATTTCGCAATACTGCTCTCATGAACGTCATTTTTCGTTGTGCATCGAAAATAAAACTTGTATCTCTTGTCATCTTGCTGTCTATTCTTATCATAGAGTAAATATCAATGCAAACGAAATAAATGACAAGCGAAAGAGATAACGAATAAAAAACGTGTTCGTGCATCATAATCACCCATTTTTTTCGTTACTACTGAAATCATCGACAAGACCAGCTGTGTAATACAGACATTTTCATTCGCATTTACATGTGCTGTATTTAGCCAAGTTAACGAGCATGGTTTTCATAGTTGCGTTTATCCTATTTGTCTATGGCGCTTATCGATTGTATCAACACGTCTTCCCTGCACCAAATATTGATCCTCAAGGCAAATATGTTCTCATCAGTGGATGTGATAGTGGCTTTGGCAACGCACTAGCCATCGAGCTCGACAAAGAGGGTTTCAATGTCTTTGCTGGTATTTACAGTGCCGATAGTAAATCTGCACTGACTGATCAACTTTCATCACGAGCAACCATCTTCTTACTTGATATTACTCGACAGCAAGACATCGACTCGGCCTACGAGATGGTCAAAGGAAAAACAAATACTCTTCATGCATTGGTCAATAATGCAGGTATTATGACTGGTGGGCATATTGACTGGATCACCACGGAGTCGATGCGTCAAGTGATGGATATCAACTTTTTCGGACACGTAGCTATGACCAAAACATTTTTACCATTGCTGATTGCCAAGCGAGATGCGCGTGTAGTGAATATTTGTTCAGTAGCCGGCTTCTTAGCTCCACCATCTACTTCAGCTTATTGTGCATCCAAGTATGCACTAGAATCATTTTCCGATTGTCTTCGTCGCGAAATGCATGCTTGGGAGTTGCGTGTGAGCATCATTGAGCCAGGCATCATGCGAACGCCTATGATCCAAAAGCATGGTGTGGCTACACATGAGGTAAGAATGCAAATGCCGATTAGCGTTCAAGAACGATGGGGCGAGGACTTTTTAAGATGTCATTTTGAAAAAATAAGAAATAATATTTTTATTAAATTGGCCGAAGATCCGATGAAAGTGGTGCGAGCACTGCAACATGCAGTAACAAGCACGGCTCCACGTATTCGCTATCGACCTGGCTGGCAATCAAAGTTCCTCTACTTTCCTTTGTCGATTATTCCCGCCTGGTTATCCGACTTATATTTTGTAAAAACACGTGCCTTACCTGTCCTACCGGCTGGTATAAATAAGCAACTACACCCGTAAATTTGCTTTAGTATAACAGTAGAGTACAATTTTAAAATAAATGATTAAGCACACAAATAAAGATTGTAAAGGAGGGAGGGTGTGGGGTGTGGGTGTGGGGTTGTGTGGGTGTGGGTGGGTGTGGGCGTGTGGGTGTGGGGGTGTGGGTGTGAGTGGGTGTGGGCGTGCGCGTGTACGATTTGTGAAACCAAGAATAACACCCCCACCTCCACTGACACCAACCCAGCAAACGCCAACTCCACCAGCGCCGCCCACACCCACACCCACACATACCCACACCAACACCCCACATCCCCACCACACCCACACCGATCCCACACCCACACCCACATCCACACCCACACCCACACCCACACCCAATTCCACACCCACACCCACACACCCACACACCCATACCCACGCCGACCCGACACCTTCACCCACACCCACACCCCACCCTCAAAATTCATGACATGTACGAAGATTCTTTTAATCAGTTTAAAAATATTTAGCTCTTTCTTTATTTATTAAATATTTTAAATAGATTAGAATTTGCAGTTATTGAGCGCGCCATAAAGAACGATGGTCTCAGTATTTTAGAGATATCTCGATCAGTTTTCAATACTTAGACTAACACTTTTTTCCAAAAGATTCGAGGTGGAATTCTTGTACAAAAAGATATATTTCACTTCACAAATACATGTCCTTCCATAGTTTAAGCGTGACATGACCAGAACAACAGCATGATATACAATTGTCAAAATATTCTTTTTTTCCAGTTTTTCAAAAAATATTTTATTCGTTATATCACTGTGACTTTTTGTCTCCACGCGTTCCCAGATAATTTTTCCATTTCAGTTCGTCATAAATAATAAAATTTCAAAGAAATCGGTCTAAGTCGTGCACTGAGAATGTATCTGGACAAAAAATCAATGTGATATAATAAATGAAATATTTTTCGAAAAAACTGAAAAAAAAACGAATATTTTGAAAATTGCACATTATATTTTGGTTCAGATCATGTCGCATAGAAGGAAATGCATTTGCCAATTGAAATATATCGTTTTGTATGGAATTTGCACGGCGAATCTTTTGGAAAAATGTTCGAGTCTAAATATTGAAAACTGATCGAGATATTTCTAAAATACTGAGACCGCTATTCTTTATGGTGCACTGGATATATTAGAAATATAATATACAAATTTAAATATAAATACATAACCATATATATTATATCTAATATTTCGAACGTTATTCGTTCTTCTTCGGAGCTAAAAATTTTATTCTTAAAAGGGAATAAACATCTGACTGAACTTTCTTTTTTTTTGTTCTTCTTCTTTGTTCTATTCTCTTTCATTGAAAAATTATATATTGATTTAGAAAAGACGATGATGCGGGTATGAAATATCAAGTTGAACATTTGTTTTTGTTATACCTATTATTGTTATTGCAATTAAATATTAAGTTGGATATTTTTTGTTCTCTTTTTATTTGTTAGCTTAGCTTATACCCTAAGAAAAAAGAGTCACTACAAGAATAATTAACTGTATGTAGAATTAATACAAAAGCTTCACATTTCTAATATGTGTTGAAAATTTTTCGGGGTCTGAGCTCTCCCTAGTCCGAAATCCTGGCTCCACCACTGCCGTCAATAGCTCAGAGTATCAATGATATCACAAAGGCATTTTACACCAAATTAAAACGCGTCAAACTGGATTAATTGGTACTAAATGGTAAAGATTAAGAAGATATTTTAATGTTGAATATAAGAAATTTCCAGAAATTTGATACTTTTTGGTGTAGCAAAGTAAGATGCTAGTAGTTCAAAAACGGAGTACAACTTTTTTTCTTGGATATTTTTACATAATTTAGTGTAGTTTGTCGAGCTGTGGTAAGCTGCATATTTCAAAAATATTTTGAGCCATCTTTTTGAAACAAAACATTCAAAAGACTACTTGGAATGTCTCAACAAATTTTCAAAAACTTCTCTATTTTTATATGAAAAAAAAACAATCGATTTTTCAATAACATTAGCTTCTGTTCGTTATTTTTGCTGTTTTAGAAGTTTGAAAATATACTCATCTGATGCCGCGTAAAAAACTGCATTCAATGAGCACATTTCAAAACATCTGAGACAGCAAAAATAATGAACAACAACTGATGTTATTGAAAAATTGAGTGTTTTTCTGTCATATGAAAAAATTGAAATTTTTGAGCATTTTTTGAAAATTCTTAAGTAGATTTTTTGATGTTCGACATTTAAAAATCTTCATAACCTTTACCATTTAGTACCAATAAATTCAGCCTTTGGTGCACTTTAATTTGGTATAAAATATATTTGTGATATCATTGATGCTCTGAGTTACAGAGTAAGAGCCGAAGGTTATGTGGCACATTGTAGAAGTAAACAAAATATGCCAATCTTCAATATTGTCTGGATCTTAATTAGAGATTTGACTGGAAATGTGCGTTTCTAAAACATTTCTCTATCATTATGAAAAATTTATTATTAGATATATCGAATGCGACAATGATAATAGAGAATTTCGGTTGTGAGTAGTTCTCTTGTAAATCATGCTTTAACTTTTTTAATAGAATGATTATGTATAATGCTATTATTGGACTCATAAAGAAATGATGAAATAGAGTTATTATTATATGAGGGTGTGGGTGTTGCAAATGAGAAATAGTACATTCCGACACTGACTCCCATCCACACCCACACCCACACCCACACCCACACCCACACCCACACCCACACCCTAGACTAGACCAAATGGTAGTGCAGACATTTTAGACTAGTCATGTTGGGTGTCTTCCCCTATGTTTTGCTTGCCTGGATATATGAATAAGAAATTTCATCAGATTATTCTCAAATATTGTTCGAATTTACTTAGTCAATAAATCTTTTTACAAAAGTAAGAATATTAGTATAACAAAAATTGATAATAGATTTAACCATGTTAAAACTTCTTGAAGAAGATCCATTATAATATAAAATAATTTGTTCAATAGAACTTAAACTCGAAGATATATCGATGTAATTTGTTTTAGTTTTGTTTTTCCTTAATGACAAGTTTTCTGAGGGACATTATTTTATTTTATAATATATCTTCTATAAACTAAAAACTATTCTAATGACTTTATATCTTTTAGCAATTTTCTTGGAATATTTATTGAACAAGATAAATTTATATTTTCAATCAAAATGGACTTCATTACGTTTGATAACTTGATTGAAGCAGTGAAAAAATGTTATTTTTCTTTTACTAGAGTAGATAAGATAAAGACTGCCTTACAAATTTCCAAACGCATATCATCATATCAAGTAGCACAATTGTTGGAATTCAGTGAATACGATTTTGAAAAAGTTGAAATAGCAAAAATGGCATATCCATATGTTATTAATAAAGATTCTTATGCTAACAGTATTGATCAAGTGTTCTCATTTAATTTTTCAAAAATTGAATTAAATAAATACATTGATCAATATGACCAGACTTCATTTTCACTTTTTATCTATTCTACACAGACTCATTTTTGAAATAATAATCTGACTTGTTTATATATATATATATATGTATTTTTTTTTCTTCTAAAATAAATAAAACTAAAAATAATCTATTATATGAAAATATTTGATAGGCTATAATCATTTGTTTGAAATTAAATTTAGTTCCTACAATCCAAGTATTTGTGTTGTCCATTGAATAAATGATACATATTAAAGTTCAATGAAGATTGTCATCAGCAAATTAACCACATTAAAATATTAGCTGCAATTGACCTGCTTAGAGGAAGATATTTCGATATTTAATTAATGAATGACCTAAGAATGAGAAGAATATTTTATGGACGGAACTACAGTACGGAATATATTAAGCTGAAAAATTAAGACAATAGTATATCATTTAAGCCATATCTTATGTACATTACACAATTGCTTTTTTTAAAATAATATTTTAACAGTCATGGAGTTAAGCATGCGGTTCTTCCATCTTTATAACATGTTATGCTCTTTTTATTTTGTCTATATTTCATGTGATATATCGTTGCCTCGATCTTTCAACTCTGTATATTCTCTTCTATGGTTCCGTATATGAAATATTCTTCCCATTCTTTGACATTCGGAGAATATACGATTCAGTTATCAGATTATTGTATGAAGAGTTGTATATTTAGAGGTTGAGGCATTCATCATTTACTGGCCTTCATCGGTACCCTCTGAATTTTGATCAAGTAAAAGGCTGTACATAAATCAAATATTGAATGTCTTCCTCTAGACAATCCAATGACAACTCATGTTATAACCTTGTAAGTTTGCTGATGAGAGGTTCTATTTAATCCGATTATGTGTCATCTCTTTAACTGATAACACCAACATTTAGATTATTAAATATTTCTACATTACTTCAAGAAATTATCTTTAGAGCAAAAAGAAGTAAATGTTTAGTTTTCCTTAAGTCTTTGACTTCTACTTGTAAACGGTGAAATTATTATATTTTATTATTATTTTGCTTTTTTGTTGAGAATAATTCATTTCTTTTGACGTAGATGTATTCAAATAATGGATGATATTATTTTAAGAAAGCATTTCTCTTTGATATTTTATGGTATAAATCATTTCTACTATAAATGAAATAATTTCTCAACTTTGGGTGATATTATCTATCTCTTCTATCATCCTATTTCTCAAGCTTAATGTTCATTATATAATCGACAATTTGTTTAGCATGTATCATTGGTAAAAATTTGACTTTTGTGAAAAACTTTTCGAGTATAAATAAAAATTTGTCATTTATTTTTTTAAAGACAAAATATCGGTTTGATTATCAAATTATGAAAGAGTAATATAAAAAATTAATAATGATATGATCATTTTGAATATGAAATATGAACTTCAATCGATGAATTAATTTCAACATTCACTTTATTGACTTTATCAATGCTACACTTTTAGATTTCAATAATATTCATTAAATAATAATAATAATTTAGTCATAGAAAATAATCTTTTTAAA